TATGTTTTCAGGTTCAGGAGCATTTTGTGGTAAAGTGATGATTTAGGTGCCTTTTGGTGCTTAAAGAAGAGTTTTCCAAGATGACTATGAAGATCCGACATAAGAGATACATATCGATCGATACATACCCTGTGTAATCAATCGATGACGCTTCCGTAGAAGTTGAAGTTGAGATACTCCATCGATCGATGTACACCATGTACCATCGATCGATACAGAGCGTGATGAGCAAGATTTATTTGGCCAACTTGAAGCCCAAGTTCTCACCAAATTACAAGATTGCCCCTGACGAGTTTTTAACCTAATTGTATTTGTATTTATAGCTATGCCTATGAGCCCTAGAAAGACAATGAGAAATTAAGAGTTTTGTATTCTATTCTATATTTAGCAATAAAAGCATTTTCTTTTCATCTTATTCTTTTGCTATGAATCACTTAGCCATGTCTGAGTAGATTCACTTGTTAGATTTAGGGTTCAAATAGTTATGAGGGATTAGCCCCAACTATGGAATGTTGAGTTGTGATATTCATTATCCTGATAAACCCTAATGCTTATTCTAGAGTAACTAACTAGAGTATGATCATGGAATGATTTAACCTTGTTAATCATCATCCTGAAATCATCTAGTATAAGTTGAGATCCTCTAGGGACGAACAAGAGCCGGTCTATGATCTTGGTGAACACTTATTCAATTCGATCTGGAGCTATATCGATCGATACTCCTATAGAGTAATCGATCGATGTCAAACCATATCGTCCGATATCGCTGTCAAAACATAGGTCAATATTACCGGCAGTCAGATCAATGAACGAGTCTAGATAGTGATTGCTAATAGACTTATCTAAGAGTTGAAGTTCTTTAATATCTTTCAAGCAACTTATAAAGACATCTGTAGCATTATAATCCTGATTATCTTAATAGCAACCTTGAATCTAATTACTTTCTTTTATTGTTTAAAGCCTAAAACAAATTCTCTTGAGCAACTCACCATTACTCACAACTGCAATTTACTTTTAAACCTTAATCAACCTAGCATAATCACTTAGAATTATATCTTTGTGTTTTTTAGTTCCTTGTGGATTCGATCCCTAAGTACCACAACTGAACCTCTTATTTGAGAGAGTAATTCACTCCTTAGGGTAATTTGAGTGATATCAGGGTTTCGACCTGTTTTAAGAGAAAACCAATGAGCTTTTCCTGCTCTTCCGATTTTTTTTGTTAAAGTCGGAGATCATATTTTCGACGGTCTCGGCGTTAGCGTTTGTAGCGTTGGCCGCGGACTCATCTTGTGGTGGTGGTGTTTTGTCAACGTTATCGCTTTCGTCGCGAGTTTGGTTGTCACCAGTCATCGTTTCTTGATCGAGCGTGCTGCGGCTTGAGTGTAAGATAAATCCGACCCCCCCTTCTTCTAGCGCCAAACTGTGGGAACCAAAATTCACCTAGTGTCAAGAAATCGTAAATAAGAGAATTTAGAGTAAACCCTTATTTCCCAGAGGACCCGGCTATCTGCGTAACCGCACAAGAAGCTTCAAATACGCGATTAATATGAATAAGTTAGAGAGATGTAGAGAAAAACGAGATTGAGAGCAAAATGATTCTTATTCCAAATTCGCGTAAGAACGATACAACAAGAGTAGCCTTAGCTGCGTGAGACGTCAGCGAGATTCCTAGTTGAGATGCAGCTGGATAACGGAAACATAAATATTCCTAAATGCTAAGTTTGGTGGTGAAATCTCTGAAAACTCCTTTTCTGCTCCTATCCTCTGCCTTCTGCTTATATACTCCCTTCCTAGGCGGTTTGGTCCTTCCATTTCACCCAGATTCGAGTTTATCGAGAATCTTCCATTTATTTCGATCTTTCCTTTTCTCCCGCGGAAATCTTCTATTTATGTTCAAACTTGACATTTATCTTCAAATTTGACATTTATCTCTTTTCTGCGAGTAAATCGTCAAAACGTCATCGTATCTTCGGGTTAAATTTCGTTAAAGTCGCGAGTGGGCTTTTATCGCGTTTTAGAACTTTCCGAGCCGTTTAGCGATAAAACCGTTTTGCGACTTTAGACGAGATTGTTTCCTGATACGATGCCGTTTTTAAATAAGTTTCTCGAGTTATTCGTAAAGTTTGGTAATATTCGATGTCTCGGTTAATCGTTGCCGTTTTCTACGATTCACTCGAAGTTTTTTTTAAAAACGCGTTTTTACGATTTCTCACGAAAAATCTTGAGTAAATCGTATAGTTTAGGTAATGTTCGGTGTTTCGTTTAACCGTTGCTGTTTTATACGATTTCCTTGAGTTCTTTCGAGAAAACAAGACTTTATGGTTTTTATCGTAAAACTCGAACGATAGGACGGATCGAAGCGAAACAAGAGACATTTTGACCGTGGTTCGGAACATGATCGTGCCTAATGACGTATGCCTTAAATCAAGGACGTGGGAACTCGAGGCTCGGGATAATTAGCTCGACGTACGACGAGCCGAACCAGACTGGTTCAGCTCGCCGTACGGCGAGCTAGTCTGGTCGAGATAGCTTGCCGTACAGCGAGGTAGCTTTGGTCGAGATAGCTCGCCGCGCCGACGGCGAGCTAGCTCTGGTCGAGATAGCTCGCCGTACGGCGAGCTAGTTCGTTTGAACCAGCTCGTGGTTTACGGCGGTTGCGGTTTTTCGCGGTTTTGTGCTTAACTCGGACGATCGTGTAATCGGCGTTTGTTTCGTTCTTCCGAGATAACGGTTTCCAAGTTTTCCGCAGATTTCCTTTGTTTGGAAACTTCTTGAGTTTTATAAAATGACTTCTCAAGTTTTATAAAACGACTTCTCGAGTTTCATAAAACGACTTCTCGAGTTTTATAAAACGACTCTTATAAAACGACTTCCCGAGTTTTATAAAATGACTTTTATAAAACGTCTTCTCGAGTTTTATAAAACGTATTTAGTTTTTTTTTTACGGAAAGTTTTGGCTATTGATTCCGTCGTACCGATTTTAACCCCAACAATGTTCTCGAGCGATGATGACAACATGGTTATGTCAAGCTCTCATTGAACACCCTTCATTTCCTTTAAGACAACATTTTCTACTTTATCTGATGATTTTTCCTTTCATGCAAATTATTTCGACGATTTCAGTACCCTTCTTTTTTTTTAAGAATATAAAAACCTGTAAAATAGAATTACATTGACGCTAACCTTCTAAAATAAATGGACATTATTTTTACCTCTAAATATATATTATTGTGAATAATTTCCCACATTAAAAGTTTAAACAAATAATTATTATATAGAATAAGATGTCTAATTCTAATTAGTACGATGGATTTTGGAAATGATCCCAAAAACTAAATCCATACAAGCTTTTTTTTCAGATCAAAAATAGATTATGTCGTATTAATCATTCGCGGAAGAGTTAGACATGGACTTTACGAAACCCAACAACTGGTATCAGATTTAAATTGACAGAAATCTGCTTAAAATCAAAACATCCTTTAAATTCGAGGATGACAATCAACGATTGGAAAAAGAGAGGTATATGGCAGGGATCAGTCAAAAAGATCCTTGAAGCTTCGGTTGTGGGAGAAATATTCTCAAGTGAGTGCAATTAAAGGTACCAGAGACTTGTGTTGAAAATTTCTCTCTAACGGCTATACAAAGATTAAGTGGATATTTATAATGATGTTACAAGGATTAAGTGGTGATGAATGGTCTAATGGTGTAACAAGGGTGTAACAAGGGTTAGGAGTATAAATCATATTGGTATAACTAGAGTCAGATGAAGAACAATGTTGGTGACTATGACGGTACAAGATGTGTGCCAGATTTTGTTGAAGGCTGGAAAGCAAGAATTTGTGTGGTACTTGGTTTAAGAAGATGTTTGTTGTGAATATAAACAAAGTTTTCCATTGGAAGTTTACAGAATAATTTTTAGTATATAATAGTATTTCTAAATCTGATTAGTTTGAGGCATTTTGAAAAAGAATCCAAAAATTAAATTCATGTAAACTTTGTCTTTATAACCAAAATAGATAATATATGGTACATGAATTTGATGAAGCCCAACATATATGAGTGCTAATTTTTCTCCAAATATAGAAGAAAAATAGTAACTTTTATTTTGAATAAGAATTAAAAATAGATTGGAAAATAATGATATCCATAATAGTATTTGGAGATGAATATAGCATAAAGTTGGAACTGTTCTTAGATTTGTTGAACAATGGAGTAACAAAACTAGCGGTATCACTAGTGTAATGTTCTTACAAAATTAATCCTAGCGTTATATTCTGATACCGGCCACTCATCAATAATACATGTGTTTTAATCTGATCCATACATCATATATATGTTTCATGTTTGCATACGCAAAAAATCACATATTGCTTTCTTTAGAAGTTTCGTTTAGAAAACGTTTTAATTTTAGAGATCACGTCTTGACAGCTGATTGTCTAACGATAAAACTAGTGTAAAAAAAAGAAGTTTATATTAATGTATTAATGTGTTCTGTTTGTGAGTTATTTGTTTTGTTAGTAACATAGTGGGGAATAACCAACATGGCATAGTGTCTTACATTTACTATCACGCGCAAGCTGTCACGTATTCTGTAACAATGTACTAATCTTCAAATGGTGGGAAACAATAATTCCTTTCACCTTCGTTTCTTAAAAGTGCCACTGTAAAAATAATATGCCTAAGAACATCACCAATAGTGTTACCACCATTGAAGTCCTTAGGATTATTTAAGTTTTTTTTTTTTTTAGTTTGAATAGTTAAAAACTCTAATCAAAAATGTTTGTCCAATAGTATTACTCAATTAGGAATCCTTAAAAAAAAAAAACATGTGAAATGTAAAATAGAGCATACACCAATCTTGATACCATCTAAAAGCAGAGCACACACCAATCTTGATACCATCTAAAAGCAGAGCATACACCAATCTTAATACGATCTAAAGCAGATCACACACTAATCTCTATATGATCTTAAAGTAAAGCATACACACCAAATTTCCCTCACCTGTTGCACATTTCAACAACACTGAGTTTGAAGATACCTTCCCCACTTGCTTTAAGTGTCCGACGAAGATCACCATCTGTAAACGTACCAATCAAACGATGATATTCATCAACCACAAGCAAACACCCACACCCTTTGCTAGCCATCTCCACCAACTGATCCATAATGAAGTCTCCTTCTTTACAAACCGGAAACTCATCTTTCTTCTTCATAACATCCTTAACTTACACAACAAAGATCTATCCACTCACAAAACCAGACTCCAAAAACCTTACAAACTTCTCAACTTTGAGACCAAACCTTAAAAATAAAACTCTAAAACCTTATAAGGTTCTCAACTTTGAGACCAAACCTTAAGAAGCAAACTCTGAAATCTTATAAAGTACTCAACTTTATGATCAAACCTTAAAAATTCAAACTCTAAAACTTTATAAAGTTCTCAACTTTGAGAAGACCATACCTTAAAAATCAAACTCTTCCAATTGATACGGCCATCAAACCAGTAGCTGAACCAGAGGTTCATTCAACACTCCACTTAACCAATCAAGACGCCAACCAGGACGTATGTGCACTTAAAATGTCATATCTTTTAAACCATGGGTTTTCACAATGAAGACAATTCTCATGGATTCTAAACTCAGAGGCGGTCCAATGGAAATTGGAATCATACCCATATCTACTCGGACCGAGAAGATATGAGTTTACAACCCGGACGTTTCTCATACTGTCCATCTGCGAGCATCCGACATTAGAAAAAGATTCAAGCTCAGTGAAGGAGAGGTACCGAGCCAAACCAAATTTCAGACGTCAAGAGGAGTTTATCAGCTATCAATAGAGCTCAATATCACGATAAGGGTCAAGGAAATTGGAAGATATGATCAATTTCCCAAAACTGGTCAAACCATTTCCGCACTTGCCTTATTTGGAAGATCCGGGATTCACATCAAACCAAACTCCAGAAAGGCGACCAGGAGACCTTCTAAGTCATTACGAGGCACTCCAAAACATCTTAGTAAGAACCAGAGTACATTGGATCAGGCAAATCCCAATCAGACCAAAAGATAGACCCGGTTTACTACAATTGGGCTAACCTACATCAATTGGGGAGAGTTTTATCCCAACTCAATTTGGTTCGATCCAAACCTTTCTATGGAAGCCAGGAGATACTCTAGACCATTCAGAAGACATTATCCATGAGCCAGAGGAGTTCTTTCAGTTCATACCATGCACTACACCACATAAGAACAAGAAGATCCTCATTAACACTAAGCTGCCTTATTTGGAGATTATTGTATTCAAATTCCAATAGCTCTCAATCCTTGACTTTATGCACGACACCAGAACCTTCCAAGCCACCCAGAAGGTCCCAAGGAAGCTCTCTTATCCCTTTAAACTATGCAGGTTCAAGTTGGGGTCAAAATCGGTACGACGGAATTAATAGCCAAAACTTTCCGCAAGAATACAAAAAGAACAGTTTTATAAAACTCGAGAAATCGTTTTATAAAACTCGAGAAATCGTTTTATAAAGCTCGAGAATCGTTTTATAAAACTCGAGAATCATTTTATAAAACTCGAAAAACCGTTTTATAAAACCCGAGTATCGTTTTATAAAACTCGAGAATCGTTTTATAAAACTCGAGAAACCGTTTTATAAAACTCGAGAAATCGCTTTATAAAACTCGAGAAACCATTTTATAAAACTCGAGAATCGTTTTATAAAACTCGAGAATCGTTTTATAAAACTCGAGAAACCGTTTTATACAACTCGAGAATCGTTTTATAAAACTCGAGAAACCGTTTTATAAAACTCGAGAATCGTTTTATAAAACTCGAGAATCGTTTTATAAAACTCGAGAAACCGTTTTATAAAACTCGAGAAACCGTTTTATAAAACTCGAGAATCGTTTTATAAAACTCGAAGATCGTTTTTATAAAACTCAAAAGTCGTTTTATGAAATCCGAAGATCGTTTTATAAAACTCGAGAATCGTTTTAC